TTTTACCAAATACATCCAATGCACGTTTATCTCATCTTTCAACAATTAACTCTCAGGCCAAAAAGCTTCAACTATACTTCCATGCAACTATAATCCAACCAAATACTCCAAACTCACAGGCCCAATTTGCTTGGATTCTTACACCCACTAACATTACATTCTCTTCTCAAATTATACACTGGCCTAGTGATCCAAATCGGAAAAAAAAATGGAATCGATTAGTTAATCGATTGCCTTTTAAAAAGTCGATTGATAGTTGGACAAGCTCGACTAATCGACTAATCGACTAATCAGTTAATCGATTAATCGATTAATCGATCAGTCGATTAACTGATTGGTCGATTATTCGATTAATTAACTAATCGATTAGAAATCATATAACGATTCATTTTCTGATTTTACAGAGTAGTATACGAAAACTTGAGGTCAAAATCGATTAGAGATCATATAAAAGAGGATCATTTTCTGATTTTACAGTGTAGTATACGAAAACTTTAGGTAATTATTTGCACTCAAAATCATACTCGACTTTAAAAAAAATTCTTGAACGAAATCTCATATTTTATGCAACACTTTTCACGATCACAAAGAAGTGTCGCACTTATGTTGGAAATTATTGTTAAACCTTGTTGTGTATTTCTTATTAATTTTAATTTCAAAGTTCAAAGCTTGTGATGTTTTGGTACAACCTAATAGCATGTTTAAAGTAAGTCAGTAACATTTTAAGTTTTCAATTATTTTAATAAGGATGCGGGTAAATTTTATTGAATACAGTAATTTAATAGCGCAGCCACTTATTTTAGTCTTCTAAAAGATGCACGAAGAGCAATTGAAACTCTTAATAACATCCAATTACTCAAGAGACTTGTGTTATTCGCGAGGTATTTATAAAATAGATTCTTTGATTTCAAAATATAGAAACAATTGGATATTTTATATACTAACTAAACTTTATTTAATATATTTAATACTATGTAAAATATTGTTCTGAGAAAAAAATGAAAATTCTATATATAAATGTTCTATATTATCTCAATACTGCAATAGATAATAAATATATGAAATATATTTATTTAGTTGGGGGGAAAATATCTAGATAAGCGATATTTCGCTTTAAAAATAGCAATTGATGCAAAAGATAAGGGTCTAGTCGGTTTCTTTTAGGAGTTATATGGTTGCCAGCATCTGAGAATAATCTCTCAGAAGGAACCGAAGTAGCAGGTATTGCAAGATATCTTCTTGCAAGTATGCTAAGAATTGGAAATTCAGCCTTTCGCCATTTCCACCAGTCTAGTGGATTGTTTTCTTCTGTTTTATTTATTTCAGGAAGTAAAAGATACCTGTCCAATTCAGTTTGTTCAGGAGATTCATCATGCTGACGAATTGAAGAAAAAAAGCTTTTCATTAGAGATTTTTGATTTTTTTTTGTGACTTGTGATTCTCTAGGTAAATTTGTATCATTATTTTCTACTTGATTTTCATGCTTACTTAATTCATTAAACTTGATTTTTAATTCCTCAATCATTCTTCGTTTTTGAGCCTAATTATAAAATAGTAATATAACCCGTGAGTAGCGTATATTCTAACTGCATGCATTATAATTATAATATACTACATTTATTAAATAATATATATACTTATTATTTTATAATAATACTCACATTTGAACAAAAAGATAGATCTTTAAATCTGGGATCGAGTAACGAAGCAAACATTCCATAATCATGTGGCAAAGACCATCGGCTTGTCAAATTAGATAAAATTGTCTCCTTTACTTCATTTATGATATCTATTTCACTATCTATATTACTAAATCTATATATTAATTCTTCTACTGTTGGTACCATTATACCTAGTGTAGCGTAATTCGATCCAGAAAGAATCTCAGTAGCTTTATCAAATAGTGATAGAAGGTTAACAAGTTCCTGTGCAATACTAAACTCCTCATTGGTTAATAATTTGTCCCGAATATTGGTTCCATCACGACGATTATCATTATTATTTGAATTTTCAAGATCATTGGCCAGCCACTTAATTGGTCGCTCAAGTTCTACAAGTCTTTCGAGGGCCATGTAGGTAGAATTCCATCTGGTTGCTACATCAGTTATAACATCAACTACATTAGTATTTAATATACCTACCCTAATTTGTGCCTCTCTTAATTGTTTACGTTTTTTTTCTCTACTCATAAGTGAAATCAATGCTTTACATTTAGTAATTAGATTCTGCACAACTACCAAGCCTGTCTCAACGCTTAGCTGCAAGGTATGCGCAGCACAAAAAATATTAGCAATTGGTGTTGATAAAGAAAGACTTGCTGAAAGCCGTGTAACAGCTGCTTTAACATTTGAGCCATTGTCTGTGGTTATACTTAATATTTTATCTCCTTCTATACTAAATTCTTCAAGCAAAGGCTCAATAGAATCAACAATATCACCTGCAGTTTTATATGCACCCATTTCAACTACGCTTAATGTAAGATCATACATACGGAATTCATCAGAAATCCAGTGACAAGTTACACCTAAGTAAGAGTCATGTGCCCGAGACGTCCATAAATCAAACGTAAGTGATATTGTATTAGCTTGACTATGAATCATATTTTTAATTACTTGAGTTGTATGGTTAGTTCCATTTGCTATTTCATTTTTAAATGTATTTACACAAGGTGGTTTATATCTAGGATCGAAGGAATGTAAAAAGGTACGAAAATTTTTATTTTCGACCAAATATAATGGAAGCGTACAGGAAATAAAGAGTCTAAGAACATCTTGTGTAAGTTTTTGTTGCTTTGCTGGTGGATAAGGTTTTAATAACATGGTTTCTAGTGTTTGTTGAGAAGACTTTTTGAGTTCATCGGCTGTCTTATTGTGAAGTGACATTTTTGTAATGTGATGTACGTCTCTAAGGTGATTAATCATATTTGTAGTCGAACCATGCCACACATATTTTGTTTGACAACCTTTGATCGAGCATTTAAGCTTAGTTGTTGATTTGTCTTCAGGCTTATGTCCAGGTTGCTCATAAAAGGTAAAAAAAGATTTTATAAAATTATCTTTATTGGAAAGTTTTGTCCTTTTAGCAATATGACTGTCAGTAATTTCGTTAGATGAAGGTGCTGGTGATTGAGAATGTGAAATTTGAATATTATCATCATCTTGGTCAAGAGAGTCTGTCTGTTGATTGGTTATAAACGAACTATCAGAAGTTGAATTATAAGTAGAAAAATCATAATCGTAATCTTCATCCATGTTGCAAGAATAAAGTGAAGAATTAAAGAATCAGTAAGGAAAATTTATTACTTTATATATACAATCGTAGTTCATAATTATTAACAATTTTTTAATAGTTAAGGCTGACTTTTCAAGGTAACTAAAAAATTCGATTATACTTCTAAAAAACAAAGAAATAAGAACATCGAATTTATGAACAATATTAACATATAGATATGCACATATCCAGAATTGCGACCTGCATGATATTTCAAAACAAAGAACAAATTTCTAGCCTGAGTCGTTACTAAGTATTCACTTTCAAGAGGTTTAACTCTTGAATAATGCCCATAATCATTTTGTATTTTGTAGCTTATAGTATACACATATGCTTCTCAGTATTATTGTTTTCTTTGTTGCTTTGGATAGTTAAAATTTTCTCACATTATGCATAATCTCTAATGATTTATCAATTACACTTTTGATAGGTTTTGCTGCCACTCACTTCCTTGAACAATTAAGTACTCCACGGGCAATTTAATTCACGAACAATCAATTGACAGACAAATTGAGTTATAGATGAATAATTCAAACAAGTTTATTCTATGGATAGTTTATTTTATTGGTTTATTTTATAGACAGTATATTTAACTGACAGCTCATTTTACAAATTTTAGCCACCTTTATACTATATAAGCGCGAAATAACACTCGTGGACGTTATTTTGAGAATCGGGTCCTTCAAAAATAATCTATATGATCTCTAATTAATGTTCATGAATGTCCTAAATTAACACGATAAACGATACAGTCGATGTTCTATATGCGCACACTTTGCTTCTCAGTATTATTGTTTTCTTTGTTGCTTTGGTATAGTTAAAAAATTTCTCACATTATGCATAATCTCTACCGATTTTATCAATTACACTATTGATAGGTTTTGCTGCCACTCACTTCGTGAACAATTACAGTACTTCACGGGCAATTTAATTCACAAACAATCAATTGACAGACAAAATTGGGTTATAGATAAATAATTCAAACAAGTTTATTCTATGGATAGTTTATTTTATTGTTATAGACAGTATATTTAACTGACAGCTCATTTTACAAATTTTAGCCACCTTTATACTATATAAGCGCGAAATAACGCTCATGGGTGTTATTTTGAGAATCGGGTCCTTCAAAAATAACCTATATGATCTCTAATTAACGTTCATGGGCGTTCCGAATTAACGCGATAAATGATACAGTCGATGTTCTATATGCGCACACTTTATAAGTGCACTTTATCTATAATGATAATTTGATCAATATAATATAATTTAATATTATAGATTATTCTCTATAATGAATATTCTATAAATGCACTTTTACCCAACGATGTGCATTTGTGGAAGGTTGACTGTAATAGATTTAGAAAATCTTCTCCTATTTCAAAATAACGCACATGGACGTATTCGAAATAACATATAAATTATTTCAATTAATTAGCGCACAAATGGGCGTTATTTCGCACTTATACGGTATTGATATTAGATTTAGAAATAGATTTAAGGTAGTTTTGCATCAATAAAATAAACTGTATATAAATTAATTTGTCTACGAATTATTGTATATAAAATATTCTTGTTTGCAAAAGATTGGTGGTGAATTAATATTGATCTGATAGGTTTGATAGATTTGTTATAAATATTGATACTTTTTGTTTAATTAAATGTTAAACTCTCGAACTACATGTTATTGTAATCATCTTAGGATACGCCCTATATGCTATATTGGTACTATATCAAAATTCATGTTATATATTTCAAAATATGTACGCATGGCGTAATTTTGAAACTATGCTATTTTGGGATATGATTTAAAATAATGTATATGCTTACTATCGCCATTCCGAAAATTCAATGCTTTACATACGTACAAACGCTAAAGTTTTATATATTTCATGTATACAGATACAGCAACTGTATGCCATTTAGCCAAACTTGAATATAAAAAGCTATCGTTATCAACAACAATTCTAACAATGAAAAATTTATACATATACGTATATGTACAAGATTAAAAAGAAATTAACGAATACAGTAATTATTATTAATATGTATGTACTAAAGAAATACATCTAGGCTAGTAGTAATTAGATAGATTTTTTAATTGCAATATGTAGAACTTTAAATAATATACGTATTAATTGCTTGAGTAATTATTTATACATAATTTATTAATATTTAACGTTAATATATTTATAATCGATTAGTTAACTAGTTGACTAATCAACTAGAATTAACTAGTTGGTTAATTTATTAGTTGATTAGTTGATTAATCGATTGATCGATTATCGATTAGTTGGTCAATCGATTAATAGTTGGTTTATTTTAGCTAATCGATTAGTTGCCAACTTAACCAACTAAACGATTAATCGATTTTCGATTTGGATCACTACACTGGCCCTCTATTATGTGAGCATACCTTATCAGTATTATAACAATACTAACCATTGCTTCACAACATTGCCAAATAACAGTCTTTATGACATATAAATCAACAACCAAC